TGGCATCGTAGATATTCATTCAAGATCTAATATATTTTATAGTTTTCTCGATCGTGGGAAACTACATCCGATTCTCTTTTAAAATTGTTATTTTATGAGGATATACAGCAGATTACAGGTTTGAAACAAAAATAGTTTCCGGTGGAAAATATATATGCTATTTTCACGATCGCAATAAACTACATCCGATTCTGTTTTAAAATAATTATTTTTTAGTATATACAGCGGATTACAGGTTTTGAAATAAGAATAGTTTTCCGGTGGAAAATATATGTGATGGGATATACATACGAATCTACAACCGATTTTACGCTTTAGACGAAAATCGATTTTTGATAATAAATTAAATTGATCACATATTTTTATTTAACCTAATCGTAAAATAAGTTAAGGACCTACAAACATTTTAGAGTTTTCAAATAAAAATAAAATTTTGATTAAAATGTTAACTACTTAAATAATAATTCTCATATACTATAAGAAAAATATATCATGAACATAATAAATGTAACAAAAAATGGACGGAAAAAGGTCGTTGCATTTCATTAAGATCACAACAGGCCTATACCACAGAAATTAGTGGTATAGGTGTATTTATTCGGATTTTATGTATTAAACATTCTCTTCCTCAAACTAACACAACCTTCTACGATATAACTATTGTCATGAAGCGTAAAATCCAGATCAAAAAGTTGTTTCCAATAATACAGTGTATGTTGCCAAATTTGGTTCATATTTTTTATATTTAGCCTAGAAATTTGGTGTTATAGCTATTATTCTAAAAGTGAACATAAAAATGTACGTAGCATCCAATCAATATCATATAGATTCATTTTTAACTTCTGAGGTTAGACCTATTAATATGCTGATTTTTTTTTTATGTAGTGTACACATTCAAATTAATGAGGAAAACTATTAATCAGGCAATTAAAAATGCCAAGAAAGTAAATTTCAACCGAATATTCAATATGAATACAAAAAAATGTGGCTAGAGATTAAGAAATTAGGCTACAATGATGATACAAAACAAACAAACCTCTCAAAACTTGTGTTAATCAAGAAGATGTCTTAAAGGCTTTTCTTTCTATAAAATTTAACTCTGCCGGTCTCGATGGTATAGATCCAATATTCATTAAAGAATTATTACATAAAATATTGAACCACATCACAAATATTTTCAACACAATTTTTACAACTTCTTCTTATTATAAAGAGTGGAAAACTGCTAAAATTGTACCCATACCGAAAAACAACTCGGAGTTTAGACCAATTGCTGTCCTTCCATACCTATCTAACGTTTTTGAAAAAATTATGTCTGTGCAAATTTCGAACTTTCTTGATGCAAATAACTTATTGCATCAAAAACAATCAGGGTTTCGAAAGAAACGAGGATGTATTACGACACTTATTGATGTTTCAGAGGAAATTCGTGTACCTGTTGATAGAGGTAAAGTTACATTTTTGACGCTATTAGATCACTCTAAGGCATTTGATACTGTAAATCACCTTACGTTAGTGAGTAAACTCACTAAATTATTTGGGTTTACAACGTTTTCAGCTAAACTTATTCAATCTTATCTGCAATATAGAACACAACTGGTTGTGTCTTCAGGTTTATCCTCACCTCCAGTGGAACTGAAAAGAGGAGTTCCTCAAGGCTCCATTCTAGGCCCACTTCTGTTTTCATTATATATTAATGACTTACCTAACGGGATAAAAACTTGTAAAATACATATGTATGCCGATGTCGTACAGTTATATTGTAGTAGTGAAACGGAAAATGTAAACAACTGTATTATAAATAATAATGCGGATCTTAATAGAGTGTTTGAATGGGCTAAATGGAATGACCTGAGCTTAAATCCAAAAAATCTCAATGTCTGGTTATTACTTAAAAAAATTGATAGTAGTTCTTTTCCATGAATTATCCTTAACAACCAAAATATTTTTTATGTCGAAAATGCGAAAAATCTTGTAATAATCTTCAATAATACTCTTACCTGGAATGATCACATAAATAAGGCATCTTGTAAAGTTTATGGGATTTTACGTAACTAATGGCATTCCCACCATTACACTCCATTCAAGGTAAGATATTTATGTTTTATTTTACCTACACTTTTTTATGGATGTGAAATCTTCAGTAATTGTGACAGTCTTATTAAAGTAAAACTTTCAAGAGTATTTAACATTGTTGTAAGGTATTTCTATGGTTTAAGAAAATATGACCATATATCCATTTATGCTAAGCGAATATATGGAATGTCATTTGAAAATTACTTGAAATTCCGATCTTTATTATTAATTCACAAATTGATATTTAGTAAGGAACCAGAATATATCTTCTAGATTACTCTCTGAAAGACACTTTTTTATATATGGAATTAGACTTTGGGACGCATTACCATACAATTACCATGTTATTTCTAGCGCAACATCATTTAAGAATAAACTTTTATTACATTTTAAATGTATTTTATAATTATAATTATTAATACTAGAGTTCGCCCAGCGGTCGAAATTCGACCAAAACCAATGCTGGAAAAATTGCATAAACATGCTAAAATAAAACCCTATTTTTGTAGTTCAAATCTGTGGTAAAAAATTAACTTTACTGATATTATCAAAGTGTATAATTTGCTTTGATTAATGTTTTCTTTTAGAAAATGTGATAGGTTTTAGTAAAAGTCCCATCAGAAGTTTAAAACCTCAATTGTCAAAATTAGTTATACAACTTGTTTTTCAAAAGTATTTCAACTATTTTAAAAGTAAAAAATAACGAACATTTCTTCTATCAACTTATTATTCCCTATACATATACGCTACCTTCACAATGCTGGAGTACTCTACTGTACACACCAGTAAAGAAATGTTAGCTGTTCAGAATACAGAGTGGAAATGTTCTAAATAATTTGTCAAAACAATAAAAATATTTAAAATAAATAATGTCTTATCTAATTATAAATAAATTTTATTTGGGTGTCATTAGTAGTCCATCCATCAGATATATGCTGTATAAATTATACCTTATAACACTCGACAAAGACTTCAGCAGACCTACATTTATTAAATAAACGATAAATTGCTAAGTACGGTGAAACACTCTTCATCCCAAAAGACATGATTTATATATAGCAGTTTTATCTAGCAGTTTCATCTATTTTTATATAGCATATAACCATCACCTATTCAACTTACAGTTTTCACTTTACTCAACTATTTCCAAATTGGTTAGAATAACCCAAAAAAGAAGAATATCATCAAATGCTCGCTGTGCTAAACCTGCATATAAGCGATATACCTATCCATTTATTACGGTGTATCATTTACCGGCACGACCAACTAAACTTTACTTATATTTTATACAGGCTTTTTTTAATACTTACTGACACTGAATCAATTCGTTAATCCATCATTTAAATCTTCCAAATCAATCAAAACTAATAATTATGTACCGCAATTCAGTATTTTATTTCACCGATTTTTTTCGTTAAACATAATTGAAAAGTATCGGCAGTGTAACGTATAATATTTTAAAGATCTTTGTCTTTAAAATATTATACGGTCGTTAAAGTTTCCTCGGGAATGTACTTCAATTTAATTATCCAATAGAAAACTCTAAATATAAAACTGAAGTCCTAATTCTTATAAAAATATTCCTTTCGATTTGGTAACAATCGTAACAATATTATAACAAAATAGGTCATTATCTCATTCACAATTTAGCTCTTTACACAAAAATATAAAACAATAAAATCCTATTTTCGCTTTGCCTAAGCCTGTTTACATACATTTTTGTTTACAAAAATCTTATTAAAAACAACAACAAAAATAAATATCATGCGAAATACAAAAAGAAAACAGTAACAGAGAAGTTAAACGTTTCTGCACTCTCCTCTCTTTTTTTAAAAAAGTAAACAACACGGTTTACTTTTTTGTTTTGTTTCTTGCTTTGTTTGTTTGTTTTTAATTTCAAGAATACGTACGTGTGACTATTGTTTCTATGTATTAGTAACAACTTTAAACGCTTATAGCTCGTAAAATTCTGAACCGATCTCATTAATATATATATTGTGCACATCTGCGAACAAATACCTTCAAAATGATATATTTTTTGCCAAGATCAGATGTATACTGCAAGAGTAAAAGGGGTCACAAAAAATCGTATTGCCTACTAATTATATAGATTCTGTCATTTGTAATGACTAATGTTGTATTTATAAGATTTGTGTCTTGTAACATTGGGATTATCAATAAATAAATATAACATTGGGATTATCAATAAATAAATAAAAAATAAATAATAATTGTTTTACAAAAAGTTGCTGTAAAAAGGGGCGTGGCGTCCGATCCAGATATATAGTTTATAGTTCCTCCTGAGGTCAGACCTATCGGTATGCCAAAATACATGTAATTCGGATCAGTAGTTTTCTGTAAGTCTTGAATGAAAATTTTGTATAACAATTATATAGAAAAAAGTGAGCATAAGAAGAATCGTGAAGTCCAATCATGACTTTATATAGCCTATTGTTAGAATACAACTATTAGTGTTCTAAATTTCATGTAAATCGGTTCAGTAGTTTGTCCGTGAAAGCGTAACAAACAGACTTTCTCTTTCATATAATTATAGGATAAGATAAGGATAGTTTTATAAAGAAGTTTTATATAGAAAGGGGAGTGGCATCGAATCAAGATCGTATATATAGCCTATAGCTCTTTCCAAGCTTATACCTATCGGTATGCAAAATTTCAGGTAAATCGGCTTAGTAGTTTTTGCATATTGTGATTGCAAAATTGGTGTAATAATAGTTTTACAAAAAGTGGACGTAAAAAAGAGCGTGGCATCCGATCATGATCTTATATAGCCTATTGTTCCTTTTGGGATTAGCAGTCCAAATTTAATGGAAATCCGTTGAGCAATTTTACCGAGAAAAAGTCTGTTTTATATATGTATATATAGGATTGCTATGTTAATAAATTAATAATGTAAACATATTTACCATTATCTATAATGTTGTCATTTTGCCCAAAAGTATTTTTTCCAGAACTGCCCATTCGTTCATTGGTTCTTAATTCTATATGGTTAGCTATTATGTCTTCTTTATTAGTATCAATATGTTTTAATCGATTGGAGTGTTGTTTGCCTTTACTATAGTCTAAAAGTAAAAAATACATATATTATGAATTTAATTTATAATAATTTTTTTTTATTTTCATTAACTAGATCAAAATTGTTCACAAAGCGATTACCAAATTTTGAAAATCATATAAAATTTGGTAGGTTTTAAACAATTTTGGTAGTTTTTTGACAAAAATTTGGTAGGTTTAAAATTTGGTCAGTGGCAACGCTGAGGGTAACAAGTGTTCAAGTTAATCGATTTATGAACAATTTTGATAGTCGCTGTTAATCTAGTTAATGAAATAAAAAAAATGAAATTTAAATTTTATTTATTTTTATTAATTCTTAACTTCGCAATTCATACATGTGCTTACAATTAATTCTCTCTTCATAATCTAATACAATTGGTAATTATTGAATATGTTTAGTTAAAGTAGCCTAATTCAAAGCATGTTCAGTTGATAACTAATATATCAATGCCAAATATACAACAATACCCCCTTCAAAATTTTATTTAAATTCCAAATATATACATGGCTATAAAAAGAATTTAATTGGTTCATATTAATTAATAATTAATTCATTAAAAATAAAAATAAATTCATTATTTGTTCCTCGAAATTAAAATAAACTAATTCTTCCTTATTGTCATATAAGTTGCTTATGAATAATTACTTATTTACTATAATGAGGATCAATTGGTAAAGCATTATTCTGTTCACTTTCAATTAGACCCGTATTACTAGTGACGTTAAGTTTTTCTAGTGGGTCAAGAATTGCTTGAAATTGAATGCTCATCGTTTTTGTACACAAAATAATCTGAATTGCGTGTCTCTTCCAAACTTTGCATCGATTGTGTGAACAATATAAGTTTCTTTTCCTATTTTCTTGAATATTTTCCATCTTTCAACCAAGATACTTTACCAGCTACAGAATAATCTTTTAACCATTACAATATCATGTTCATTGAAAACATTTTTATTTTTTCCCTTATAATTTTCTCTCTGACTATTTTGAACCCTTTCTACAGTTTCTTCGATTTCTTTAATATTTTTCTTTCTTACAATTCTTTTTGGGTTTAACAAATCTTAATTTTTAAATTTCTTAATTTTCTTTTGTTAAACATTAAAAATGCTGGAGAAACACCGATACTGGCGTGTTCTGTATTTCTATAATCCAATAAAAATGTATTCAATATATTGTTAAATTCTGACAACCCACAGTGGGGCAGAATGGAAATTTTTTGGAAATAAATCTGGCATTTCTAAACGGCTGATCCGATCGGGATAAAATTTGGCGTGAGCGTAGCCAAGGAGTATTCGAGTTTAAGTTTTGAAGATGAACCCCGCAGATGCCCCAGGGACGGAGCTGTGGCGGCTCAAAGTAGGGTACCTACGACATGTAAAATTTTTAAACTCGTGCCATTTTTTTGTTTTTCATCCAAATACAAAGATTTTTATATTTTCTGACGAGATCTTGAAAAAACATGCTTGGACATACTACTTATCTCTTATAATATCCGAGTTATAGGCATTTAAAAATTTAGTGATACAAAATTTACCATACCTTGGTCCGCCTTTTTTTGAATACCGGGCGTAATTTTGGACCAAATGGACTCAATTTTCTTTTTAGTTAGACAACAAAATTTCCAATAATATACAAAAAATTTCACATCAATATCATTTACAGATCCAAAAATATAAGTTTTTTAATTTAAAAATTCAAAAATTTTAGATTTTTGCCGTTTTTTTGCCCAAAATGTGTCTTAACTCTTTTATTAATAAAATAAAATTTTCTTTAAGAACATATAACAATTTTATAGTTTTCTAAAAGGTATCTTTACGCAGAACGCGTTGGCGTAAAAAAACTTGTCCTATTTTTTGAAAATGTTGCCACTGCGTCCTTCCGAATATGATCTATTTTTTATCAAAACTTCAACTTTGGGCGACATGTTCTAAAATCCCAAAGCTGGGATCAGAAAACTGAAAGCAGTTTTGGAAACCTCAATATGTTTTCTATTTACTCCAAAAGTATTTTCCCAGCCCTGAAAGAAATGTGGACCCTATGGGCAAAAAAGTAAAAATCCCATTTTTGGGATTTTCATTCCTATTTTTGGGAATTGCGGGATGCCCTTTGACCTTTTCAATTTTTTTGCATTTTCTTATTTGAAATGACAAATTTAACAAGCGTTAAAAATTTCATTGAGTTTTGTTCATAAATAAAGATTTTGTCATATATTACATATTTGTTTAATTTCTAAAACTATGATTTATATCAAAATTTTAATAGGGTCGCAGATAGCTACAACAATTAGTCCATATTTATCCCTTAATATTTTTTTTAGTTAGATATGGAAATTCTCGACCCTTTACAAAAAATTTCAAGCCAATATCTCAATTACATTAAAAAATATGTTCATTTAAACCTGTATCCTTTAATTTCATATTTTTCATATTTTAGTATTAAATATGACAGAACATGTTTAAATCTTATATTTACCTATTTTCTATTTGTTTGCTTATCCTTATAATTGAAAGGTCCTTTTATGCTTAAATTTTCAGAAATTTATAACTATTTTTTACCTAAATTTTTTCTACAGATCATTTCGTTCTGTTTCGTTTATGATCATGTAGGTAAAAATATACGGGTAATGATAATTTCGATTCATTCACTAATAAGAAATATCAATGACTGAATTACAGGTTATAGTAATATAGTCCTAAATGTTAATAGGTAGACAATTCGTAATTTTTTACTTTGGAATACCTGTATTGGAAATGACAAGAATTGGTATATAAGTAAACTTCTCAGATTTTAAGTACCATATTTAATAAATCTACAATGAAGATTACATTAAAGTACGAAGAGTTGTGTTCCGTTTTATGGAGTGTACCTTCAAAAGGGCCAGAAAGAATTGAAGACATTTCAAATTATATAAAAACTACATATAGTAGAAAAGTAGACAAAACAGGCATATCAAAAATTGAAAACTTTTTGATATAAAAAGTAAGTCTGTGGATGGAAATCAAAAGAAATTTCGATTAAAATTTTGTAGTTGGATGGAAACTACTACGGAAATCTCAACTTACAACACATCAACAGGAGCGCCTTGCTAGTCATACGAAGACTTATGTTCAAGGTCAAAAAAAAGAGGGTCACACAAAAACTTTTTTCAATCTCAAATGAGGAAATTGCTGATACATTTAACGAAATGCTGAAAAAGGAAAACCAACCTATGTATGCCGTACATATTGCAACTATTCTTCCTAATGCATCACTAAAACGACTTAAGCGAATTGTGGAAAGTATACCAACTCCAACATCACAATCAGATTTTACTGAAGAGGAAGCAATAGCCCTTATGTTGGAACTGGGTCTCAGTCGAAATAAGTACCAAATATTAAGGAAAGCTCTGCATGAAAAAGGACACAATACATTACCATCATACAAGGCGATCCAGGAAAAAAAAACAAACTATCCTACCATCACCTATTGCTGTTAATGATGTGGAAGCTTGTATTGATATCATCATTGCTCGAAAACACAGCATCAAGAATTGTGTCAGACTTTTCAGAAGACCAACTAAGGAAAATTCATAACTGTGATGTTGTCTTAATGTGTAAGTGGGGATGTGAAGGTTTAGCAGCACTTCCAGAATACAAACAAGCTTGTGGAAGTCGGACATTAGCAGACTACAAAAGTGTATTTATGTCATCATTAGTGCCATTACGAATTCGTTCATATTCCCTTAATCCATCATCGTCAAGAATCGGAAATTCATTTGAAGATATATGGATCAATACAACTCCGGGTTCAAAAAAATTTGAATATATAAAGGAGTCAAAGAAAACAACAAAAGATTTAGTGGAATATTTAAAAGATGAAATAAATGCACTATAGCCCATTTGCATAAAAATAAAGGAATTCTCTATTAACGTATCATATCAGCTAAGCTTAACAATGATTGATGGAAAGGTCAGCAATGCCATAACAGAAACTTCTTCCTCAATATGTAATGAGAAAAAGTCGCAATTCTCAAATATAAACAAAAGCAGAAGTATTAATGAAGAAGTCCTGTCTTTCGGAATTTCACCACTTCATGCCAGAATACGATTTTTGGATTACTTTTTACACATAGCATACGACCTCAAATATAGAAGTGTGCCAGAGAATCTTACTAAATCAAGAACTGAGAGCTGCGGAAAAAAGCAGAATCCAAGAAGAATATAAAGTTCAGATGGGATTAAACATTGACAAACCACTTCCAAGTTGCGGTAGTACAAATGACGGTAATACGGCGAGAAGGTTTTTTCGTGATTTTGAAATTACTTCAAAAATAACTGGAATCGACAAGGAGTTGCTTCGAAGAGTTAACACTATTTTAATGGCACTGAATAGTAAACATAAAATTAATGGAAATCGATTTGGGGAATATACATCTGAAATTTCTAAATTACTTGTATCTCTGTATCCATGGAGGGAACTAACACCAACAGTACACAAAGTATTGTGTCATGGTCAAATAATAATTGAATCGAATATTCTTCCACTTGGAGAGTTAACAGAAGAAGCCCAGGAAGCGAGGAATCGAGATTTTAAGCATGTTCAACTTTTCAGCTCAAGAAAATGCTCCAGGCAATCACAGAATGAATATATTTTTAATAGTTTACTTCTATCTTCTGATCCTGTTCTTTCAACTATGCGAAAAAGATGGATTTGTTATGAAACTCTATCATCTCAAAACGAGGAAGATTTAAAGGGCTTATATTACCTTCTGGATATGTATATCGATATGACAGATTATTTTATAGAAAATAAGTAGTGTTAGGAATTAACTATATAAGTAGGTTGTAAGAATTAATTGTATTATGTTTAAGATAAACAGTTCAAATAAAAAAAGCTATTATACTAACTGATGATATTGTATTAAATTGTGTTTTATATTTCGGTGGGCGGGAAAGGTGGTTTGTGTGGGGTGATTTAGGTGTTGTTGTGCGTGGCTCATAATAAAATTTTAATTTTTTTATTGTATATACA